CCAGCGCTGCCTCAGCCAAACCGTGCCCCAGGCCTGCACCTCTTTAATTAAAATGCCCAAATATGACAAGGCACGGAGTGCTTGGCTCTCTCCACTCACAGTCTGCTCCCAGCCCCGAGGAAGGAGCCGTGAGGGCAGATGGATGCACAATCACACCCCGGGGCCCACCATCTGCTACCGAGCTGTGCTTGCCCAGGGCTTGGCACATCCAGGAGGGTCAGGAGGCTTCCTGAGAACCAGGGCATCCCCTAACAGGGCTGAGCAATAGTCCTGCGATAGCACAGACACACGTCAGCCGCTCACCACGGGCCCAGGATCCAGATCCCTAAATGGTTCCTGGGCAGCAGCTTTGGTTTCAAGAGCGGCCCCGAGACCACTTCTCACCCCACAGCTGGTGTCCCTGCCTGGCCTCATCCCCTGTCCTCTGCCTCTAGCACCACAACTGCCATAATTCTGCCAGCTGTTACTTTCCTCCAGTCAGCCAGCCTCCCATCATGAGCAAAGAGGCAAACCAACCCCATTGGCACTGGGCAGAGGGACCCAGTGCTTTTGCTGGCACCCACAGCCCGGGGGCTGCTGGCACTGCAGAGACCACTCCCAGGGGAGCCTTGACGGCGAACACGCTCGCCCTCGGCACGGGCTCGGAGACACAGACACCTCTCCCCACGCGGGGACAAGGACAAGCGTGAAGCCTCTGCTCCTACTCCCTGACCTCGGGCAGGACAGGGACAGGATGGTCACCGTCCCGGGCAGGCAGAGGTCCCGCACATGGGGGTCAGAACTTTGTTCCTGTTTTCTGTGAGTGGTATTTCCACCAGGACACTGCTGGCTCCTTGGAGAGCTGAGCAACCTGGCTAAAGACAGCCTGGAAGCAGGACTCACTCACCTGAAACAGGCGTCCCTCCCTGGAAGGCATCCAGGCTTTCAGATACTTTTATTTGCTGGTGGATGAACAGGCTGTTTAACCTGCCAGGTTGGATCCGGGATGTGTAAAACACAGCTGAGATGTTGGAATGGCAGCGAAGAGCAGCTGCGGGGAGCGATGGGGGGCCTGCTGCCGCTCTCCCTGCAGCGATGTCGCCCCAGGGAGCCGCTCTGCTCGGCCGGGACTGGCAGCTCTTCAGGAGGGGTCGGGGGACCCCGGTGCTGGGGCTGTCCCAAGCCCCTGCCTCTGCCAGGCTGCAGGTCGCTGCCCTGCGGAGCACAAACGCACCCTCTCTGCACAAACCTGGCACAGACTCTGGCCGAGAAGGTCCTGGGCTGCCTGGCTCTGTCCCCCGGGCACAGGAGCGCAGGGCACAGACCAGATCCCTCAGGTTGGCTGCTCCAGATGCGCAGGTGAGGCCAAGGCTGAAGCAATCCCAGGGAAAGCAAAACAAAGTCAGAACAGAGCCCTGTGCCTAAGGCCCCTTGGCCATTTTCACTCGGATTCAGGAAAGCCATTAAACAAATGTAGAAGGCCTAATTGCAAACTAAACCACTTTCCAGCTCCCAACACCCGAAGCCACAGCCCACAAGTGCCCCGCAGGGTTTCCAGCCGTGGACACTGCTGCACACCGGGGTCTCTGCAGGGAAGAGCCTTTCCCTGACACGTTCCCATTGCCGAGCCCCATCTCAGGACCGGCAGAGGACATGTTAACCACTTCTGTGCTAGTTTCACATGGTGTTCCCATGCCTGAGGTCCCGGAGGGCCCTGTGGAGCAGGACACGGTGCTCGCTGGCAGGCAGATGAGGGGGGTCCTCATGCCTGGCCCCACACACACATCCTGGGCCAGAAGCAGTAAGTCTTTGGTTGCAGCAGTGATGCCGCTGGCACCGTGGCTTGGGCTTTCCACTCCACAATGCCACTCCAGCTCTGGGGCAGCACCCTGTCCCCAACCTCACTTCAGCACCCAAACACCCCATACCAACTGCTGGCCCCGGCTGCACCCCCTCACCACGCACCAGCACCCGCTGTTACAAACACCCTCAACCAAACGGCTCTGGCGACAGCGGCTTCTCCCACAGCCTCCTGCTGCCCCCACAGGGTTTAAAGTCAGCCCAGGATGGGCAGGATGCAGCTCTCCCCGCATTTGCTGCTGAGCCCCACCAAAAGCCTGTCCGATCATGGCCGTGTGACAAAGCGCTCCTGGGTTGCTCTGGGACAGGGCTCCAGAGGTCCCCAAGGGTCATGGCAGATGACTTCTGCGCTGGCAGAGTCACAGCACGTCCACCAGCAATCCCGGTCGCTGCCATGTGCCAAAAGCACCTGCTGTACCACACATGGGTGAAATGTCCCCTTGAGAGGGAGCTTTGCCCACCAAACCAAACTGCAGATGCTCTCACGAACTACCCAAAGGGCCAAACCTTGTTCCTGTCAGATCAGCTTCTCCTCTCGCAGCTGGTGTCCCCGCGGGGCACTGGCCTGCCTTTGGTTCCCCCTCCTCTCCTCCAGGCTCAACTTCTTGCAGACCTGCCCCGATGTAAGAAGGAGCCATCAAGCTCAAGGACCGCTCACTCCGGTTTCATCCAGCCCTCTAAGGGGGACGGCACTACCTTACCTGCAGGCAGGACCTGCTGCCCAGCGGCAGACGGACCCCGGTGGG